ATAATTTTATCCCAATACTGTTAACAAATTGATACATATAGTGAGAATGCATTAGATACCGTATTTGAACATTTCGTACTAATTTTAGCCATTTAATCTCAGTTTTTTTTCTGGGCATCTGACTTTTATTTATAAGCAACCACACTATTCATGTCTTCTATGTACTGCAGAAAGGTTTGCAGAAATATTTTTATAAGTTTTGATTGATTTGGTGACGTCATTTTGGGAAATGGTACACTACAAAATATATTACTTCTGAAGGATTTGTCCAACCCATTAAGTTGAACCTGTTGCCCATGCTATCCTCAGTAAAAAAGTCCAAAATAGCATGTGACCTGCATTTTATAGGAAATTCCAGTATTGAAACACTAAAGAAAGACTTTCTCAGTGCAGCATTCCTCAAACTGGTTTGTAAACCAACTGCATGAAAAACTTCAAAGATTCAGCTGTAGTTTTGAAATGGAGCCCAGAAACCTATATTTATAATAAGCATTTCCAAACCTTGAGAATTACTCTTAGTCCACCTGATAACCTCCTGCCCAGTACTAACTCAACTTTTAAATGTTTCCAGAACTGTAGTAGCAAGGCAGTTCTCCAAAGTCTGGCTGGTGTAAAATGAGTAGTGATTTTGATATCACATGAACGGTGTAGATGATTTCTCCTCTTACTATAGTTGTTCTTTCAAACTCATGAGTGAGGAGCTTTACTGGAGTCATTCTAGTCATTCTGAATACAGAGAACAATTTTCAGTTTTACTGAATTACAGGGCTTTAAATTTTAGACAGTGTACTAAATATAAGTGATGCATAGGCAAACTGACAACAGGTAACATTTAAGAGGGAAATAAATACGGAAAATCAAAAAATTTTACAGGACTTGCACTAAAATTCTGAATTTGAATGATTCTAAAAGATAGCCAGTGGATGTCAGCAGTGGGCCATGAATTTGTTAGAGCCAAGCTTCGCTTTTGCTATTACCTCTCAGGAATAACTGGCTGGTTGTCATATACCTTCATAACAACCAGTGTGTTTTTCCCATTCCTTATAAATTATTGACTGATTCTGTACCAATTAGTTCTACCAGTTGGTAGTTTTGTTATCAAGTTAAGCTTCAAGACAAGAACCTGGACTTAACTGATTAAAAATTTAGAGACAGTTGATTAAATATGCAGATAGTCTGTGAAGCTACTTCTTGAAAGTATTATATTGCTTTTTAATACTAATGATTTGTATAATTAATTTAAAAAGCATAAATGCATGTAAGAAAGAAAAGAGACTTTAAAGGAATCAGGTTAAATGCCAAGGATTAAGAATGGTGAAGATGCACTTATATTTATTTATAAGACAGATACAACTGTTTTTATTTTTAAAATATGTCTCCCTCCTTAGCAAATTCTATGTAATAGAATCTTACAATTGTTTTTGGAAATTATGTGTGGAATCAGTGAGTGGTCGGAGGTCTAATTAGAAACATTTGTGAATCATATATTTTTCCTCCAATTAATAATGTTAATTACTCCATTGAATTTTGCAATTTGAAGGTTTGTTGTGAAGTCTAAGCAGTGAAGCGTGGATGTCCAGGTCAAATTAGGACTGCTGTTAAGACCCTTTGGCTTACAATAAAACTATTTATAGTTAATTATAAATTTAAGTGCTTGCCCCAAACAACCCTGACCCCAAATTCTAAGTCTTAAAATGTGTGGATTCTTCTCTGCTGTGAACATGAATTTTAAGTCAGTCCTACTCTTTGCTTTTATGTTTCTGTTTTCTTTCCCATCTTACAGGGCAAATCAAATAATACAAGGATTAGTTATCATTTGGGGGCATTACTACGTGTTCATCCCTGTCATAGGCTCTTTGCTTAGTTTATCTCTTTGAATCATTGAAAAAATCCTATCAGGAAAGTTGTGTTATTCTGACATTACAGAAGAGAACAGGGAAGTGCTGAACCTTGCCTTCCAATCGTGGGGTGCCTGATTCAATCTGATTCAGTCACCTAAGATTTTTCAAAAATGCTTTCTTCTGTGGACATGCTGTTGCTGTGCTTCCTAAGGCCCAGGCATTGCACTGACTATACTTGATGTGTGATACACTGACTATGGCAGTGAATGCTCAAAGCAAGCACCTCTGATGATAAAGTAGAACATTCCTAGACAGACTGTTTGCCAAACTTCTTCCAGATCGCTTTGAAGTGGGCTCACTCTGTCTATACCAGCCCATAGGACTGAATCTAGCTACCTACACTTTGGAGATGAGTCAGAAACATGTGGAACATCAATGTTTATATGTTAAACTTTGAACCACTACCATAGAAGACAGACAGCTTAAGAGGACATTTTCAGTAGTAAAGATGGAAAAATTGTGTTTAATATAAATACTACCTCAAGATCATTTCAAAGGTTGAGTCTTAACTTTAAGGTTGACCAGCTTTGCTTGTGTTGGGTGCTAGATGCCACCGGTTTGAATCTGGAGAAATTTTTCTGAAGAATGCTTTTATAACTACTGCATAATCCTTTAGAATTTTAGAAAGAATTTTTATTATTTTCCTCTTTCTCTTTACTTCCTTCTTTATTTATGAGGAATATGAAACAATTTTAAATTAGTTTGTAAACAAGGAAATTTCCAAAGTTGATTTTGAATGATTGTTTTTCTACCTCAAATTCATTTACTTTAAACTTACTGATCAGTTTGTCTTAGGCATTGTTGTAGGTACACAGGCATAATAGTAGAGACAAACTGTCCTCAAAAAACTCATAAAAATTGAGAACAACAATAAGACATTAACAGATTAGCATGAAACATGGTTGCTACAGTGATAGAATCCATAGATATAGTGGAAGAACTTCAAGTAGACACATTTAACATGATTTTTGGCTGTCATTTTAAAAACAAAATATTTTCCCCACATCTTGCCCATGAAAAAATTAATTTAGAGAGTATATAACTTTTATATCTATATTTCCTCTATATTCTATGAGCTCAGAAAAATCCTAAAACTTTCATAGTTCATGTTGAAAATTATACATACATCTGCATGTTTGTTTGTGTGTGTGTTCTATTTAAGGTCTGTACTCTAAAATAAAATTACTCTCTAAATACTTTTAAATTTCTATATTGCTAATACATTACTCTGACATGCTGTTATCGCCTTACAAAATCCAAAACTAATTTGTACAAGATTTGTCAATATCTGTAAATATAATAGTATATATTTATTTCACTTGACACTTTTCAAGACATTTATAGAAACCTGAGTCTTGGGACTAATGTTCACCAGAAAAAATGTACTATGTTCATTGCAGGGAACAATGGATGGCATATGTGGCAATTCTTTCCACACAACCATGTCCAAATGTTTAATTCTTGATATGTGAGAGATTGCAGATGTACTTCGGATATGGTTGGTTGTTTTTATAAATCAACTTTTCCACTTTCCATAGTTATAGCAACAGACATTTCATTAAATTGTATTTAAAGACTTGATGGGATAGGTCCTGTGAAAGGTAAGTTAGTTAAAATTTTACTATCTTGTTATAGTGTGTTTGGTCTAAGCATGAAAGAGTGTTTTTAATCAGTATGAGCATTTGCAAAAAATAATGAAATTTCATAAAACAAGTAATTCCAAGAGGGTTCTTTAAATCAAAACATTGTAGAACCGAAAATGAAAATTTACAGTTAGCAGTAAGATTGAGCACTGTGGACATTTACAGCATATAATAACCAAGGCCTTTAAAAGATCTTTCTGTGCTTGTTCTAGGAGTAATATTGCTCCTTGACTTTATTTTCTTTTTTCTTTTTCATTAAATTAGAGCAAAAGAAAGAGGCTAAAACTCTCAAAAAAAATTCCTAAAGTTTATCATATTATCTTTGCTCTCAAAATTAAAACTACAGATCTAGCTGACCACAGCAGTTTCCTGGAGGTTTTGCTTCTTATCAAATTGGTAACAGTGTTTTTGACTTTAGTTGTGAATAGGAATATAAAAACAATACTTAATCCAGAAATCCTTATTCTGGATGCAGCATTGAATATAAATCCTTATAGTTTCTGTACTGAACTTAATAAAATTATGAGGCAATAGTTAAATTTTATGCTTGTGGACAGATTATGTTATTTTGCAGCTACCAATAGTTTTTACAGAAGATAAAGGAAACAGACAAGCTCTGTTTGATTTGCTTGTTACAGTATATGGATGCATTTTGTCATTAAATTGCTTGGATCTAAAAATACCTAGTATGCAACTTCACATAGAGATCTGCCAGCATAGATGATTACAGTTCAGCTAATCCAGAAGAGAATCAAATATATTATGGAAGCTATAGTATAATAAACGAATTTGGTAAAGAGACTCATCCTAATGAGATTAATTTTAGCTGTAATTGCTCAAACTCTGGCATCAGTGAAGATAAACAATATAATCCCCTTAAGAGAATTTTTTATAAGTCTTGCAAAGTGTTTCTGAAACTTCAATACATTTTCATTTTCTTAAACTAGATTCAATAAAAAGAAGTGAAAGAATGAGAATGAATTACCTTTCTTTGATTTTTATATTTTCTTATAAACATATCAAATTATGGAAGACCTAGCCCCTATTTGTCTATTGCAACTATCAGGAAAATAAAGATATCTTGCTTGAATTGTCTGAGACAAAATGTCCTCAGAGTCCAAGTCTTATGTTTCTTTCTTTTTTTTTTTTTTTTTTTTTTTTGTCTTTTTCCTTTTTATCGGTACCAGGGATCGAACTCACGACTGCCTGCTTCCAAGGCAGGCGCTTATGCCACTGAGCTAAATCCCCAGCCCCAAGTCTTATGTTTCTTATTCAAAACATTTTGTATGTGTTGCTCTGAAGTTGTACACTAGTAACTTTGTACAAAATCTGATTATTCCCTAATTTCTGTTTTTCAATCAAATACTATTTTCAGTCTAAGGGATTGTTTTTCAGCTAGTGGTAGTTTTGGTGGTCAACTATTTCTTCATGTTTTCAACCTTCTTTCAACCTTGTACTTTCTGTCCTCTATAGCTACAACACTTAGACTCCACCCTGTGCTTGGTAGACATCATCACTATTCTCCAGTATTTAACATTTCCCCCGCCAGGCACATGGAAGACAAATCTCTTGGTGAGTGGGCCCTGGAATTCTCTACAGCCAAAAGGAAAAGTATGATGGTAAAATGTCTATGTGCCGGAGATATAACTCAGTAGCACACATGCCTGCCTGGCAAACACAAGATGGTGAGTTTGATCCCCAGTACCAAAACCAAAACATTTGGTGTGCTCTTTTGTGTTTGCTCATGACGAATAAAAAAAGTACGAAGAAGGTTGAATTTTCTAGATAACATACATGTAAGACAGTGAAGCCTCAGCATCGGGTGAAAAAGAGGCCTTCATCCCTCTGCTTATTACATATAATATGAATGAGAATGTTAAAAATGTTTTTATGTTAAGCCAGTTATATTGTTGGATTAAGATTCTTTTTTATTGAATAAAATCTAGTCCAACCTGTTAGGTTTTTTGCGCAGCTGAGAGACAGAGACAGAGGTAAGGAAAAAAAACCAAACCAAACCAAACCAAACCAAACCAAACCAAACACCTCTATTGTCAGCTCAGAAAGGCTGCAGGAGACTGCAAGGATGCTTAAAGGGGACAAAGCTGAGGAGTTGATTTTATGGGATTGGGATGGGTGGAGACATGTGAGTAAATAGGTCATCATGTTGCGAGAGGACTGGAGGACTTTTTGGTGTAGGGGGTGGAAACTACCTGAGTGGATGGTGGCAGGAGGGGGATTGGAGGACCTTGGGCACGTGAGAAAGGGAGACAGGAATTTTATTGTTTTGGGACCAGAAGATGAGCACAGGAATTAGTGCAAGAGAGATATGCTGTTGTTTAGGGGTCAACGCCATGACAGACCGGTGCCTTGTAGAACCTGGCAGTCTCACAGGAGTGGAACCCATCACAACATAATTAATAAATGCCCTGACACAGGCTGTTTCTACCCCTACTCTTCCTATCAAATTGTCTTACCCTGGCTGGCTATCCCATTGCAGTATAGATGTTTAGGAAATTGTATTTATATAAAAATATTAATAGTTAGGACTGCCTACTGGTGGTAAGAAAGAAAGCAATGAGGAGACAGGGGCCAAGGTGATCTGAAGTGACACTACTGTCACCCAAGGAAATGAACTGTCCATGAACTATCCTAGCTCTGTGGCTGAGTGGCAGGGAGGAGAATTCAGAGAACCCATCCCTGATTCTTCCTGTGGTTCTAATAAATTACTACTGCTTCTGAACGCCTAAGCCTCTCCTATTAGTTGGAGTCTGTGTAAGAATGAGTTGTATCCTAAATAGCAGTTTATTTTAAACTGTTTTAAATAGATTTTATTTAAGTATTAATGTGAAAAATAACCATAGTTCTAGTTCAGGAGTTAAGTATGTGAGAAATGATACAGCATCAACTCCTTGACTGCATAAAAGCTGAAAATTTATATATTTGCCCTTCAATTTTATTTTCCATAGCATTTTATATACCTGCCAAAATTAATAAGTAATAGTTTGTCATATTTTCTCTGTGCTATTTTTTAAACATGCAAAGCATTATTGATGTCTTCTCTCTCCCTTCAAATAGTCATATTCACAAATTTTATGTGTAGTTTACAGTTCTACTACATAAATGGCATTTTTTCTGTTTGAAAAGTTATGTAATACTATCATACTATCCATACTGTTCTATAACTTCTTTTTAAAAGAAGTTTAAACATTATATATTTGAGATCTATTTTTGATATCTATTCATATACCTCTCATTCTATCAGTTGTGTGTGTGGGTGTGCATCTTGTTTTTACTGTTTTTGATGATATTAAATTTTTCTATTTCTTGAATGTCAGTTATTTGGGTTTTTCAAATTTTTCATGATTAAAAATAATGCTGAAATATTACAAGTTCTATCTTTTTATGAGTGTGTGTATGTATTGGTAATTTCTGTTAGACTTAGGAACTGTATTACTGAATTGTGGATTTTGTACAAATCTGCCAAAATGATTTTTTTCAATTGTCCTAATGTTTTATAGCTCTACCAGCAATATCTGAGAATTACCTAAATCCTAAGCAGCACTTAATTTTACAGACAATTTTTTCCCACTCAAATACTAATGTGTATGAATCTTTTCACAGGATCATATTAATTGACAATGCAATTTTTTGGTGTTTGTTTGGATTCTTTACACATTTTGACATTTGGTCATACTTTGTCATATATAGGAATTCTAATTGTTTTCTTGATTCTAAATATATATATATATATATATATATATATATATATATATATATATGTAATATTTTCTTCTAGGGTAGCTTTTCTCCAGACTTCCTTTGTAGTATCTTTAGTGCACACAGGTTTTACCTTCCATCTGGCCAAGAAAATTTATCTTATAACTCCTAATTGACATCCTAAGACTGTAAATATTTTCTGTTTTTGCTTTTATATTTAAGACTCAATCTGCATGAGAAAGATGGGTAAAGAGTCTGATTTCATTTTATTATTGTTTAATAAGGAACATTGCTGGGGAGCTAATCTAGAGCCTTGTTCATTGTCATGGATTAAAAGCTGGTGGTCAATTTAGCACCGGCTGAATTAAATCAGCATGGTGCTACATGTAGATGGCACTCTGATGAAAGTTGCCAGCATAAAAGGAGATGTAGAGAGGAAGAATGAGGTGTTGTGGGTTCTAGGTGTTGTTTGGAGCCATTAGTTCTCCTGGAGGAGCTTGTCATGCTGGCTTCCCTGATGTGAATTTGGTCATTTTCATTGGAGGAGCTCAGGATCTTGTGTCTGAGAATGGCTGCAGTTCACTTTGGAGGAGCTCTAGTCCTTACTTTGAGCATTGCTTCCTGGCTCTGGAGGAGAAGATGAGTGCTGTTAAATCTCTAGGAGAAATTTGTTCACTCTGGCTTCCTCATATATACTCAACTCTTCTCATTGTCGGAGGAGCTCATAACTTCACTGTCACTGAGGATGGCTTTTCAGGGGGAGTCCTCGTTCTTATTTTGAGCATTGTTTCTTCACTCCACTGCAGAACCCTCAACCTGCAGGCAAAGATCCTTCACCCTGCTGACATAGACTTTCTAGCTTCCACCGCTGACCTTTGGGTCTTTCCAGTGCAAATCCATAAAACAGATTTGCATGATTCATTGTCATGGGCTCTGGGCCTCTAGATGGACTCCTAGGAGGCACTGTCAGGGGCTCTTCATCTGGTCTTCATCTGGACTCCTGCAAGACATTGCTGTGGGATCCAGGCTCTCAGCTGGATTTTCTAGACTTTGGTGTTGTGGACAGATTTCCTGCACCTTCTTGTATTTAGCTCTGGGTGACCATCATAAAATACTATATAAATTACATAAAATACTAATACAAACTTTGTGTCCTGTACGTAATTGTTCTCCCTGCAACCCCTGACTACAACAATCACAGTCATATGCTTTGCCACTGAGCTATACTTCTATTCCAGGAACCATTTCTTGAATATTAATAACATATTGTCCATGCCTCCTTCATTAACAAGTACACATATATCCATATTTGAATTTTAGGAATTTTATTCATTTCTGTGGAACAGTCTGTATTTTTCTATTGTATAACCACATCATGTTAATTACCATGGTATTAGATAAACATCATTTCTAATAGAGCTATATCTGTTTGTTTCTTTTTCTTTTCTTAGAAATGTTTGGTTAGCTTAGAGTTTTGTTCACTGGTGTGAAGTTAAGAATCACTTTATCAAAGTACTTTATAAAAGTATTTTATAAAAATATCCTATTGTGTCTTTGATTGGAATTGCATTGAATTCATAGATGCTTATGGCATCTTGACTTGTCTGCATAGTCCTAAAAATTTGAATAAAGAACCAGCACATACTCCAGGCCTTAATGCTAAACAATGAATACTATGTATGTATTACCTCCAAATCTATTGGAACTCTCAAGAAATGTGACCTGCGCTGAAGGTACTTTAACAAGAAGAGCAGGTGGTGTTTAAAAATGGAAAAGAATTTGGAGAGGATTCAATTTTAAAAACAGAAATAGAGAATGAACAAAAAAAATGTAACCATGACAGAAAATGAAATGACATTTTATCAGGTCTGAGAATGGGGGAAGGAGGTGTTGGGAGGAAATCACACAAGAATGCTAGTTGCATTGTTTGACTCTTCAACGTCCCGAAATTGGAAACTTTTGGAGTGTGTTTCAAAGTAGTAACCCTTTCCCGCAAATAACAAATAAATTAGTTTCAAAAACTATTGCCAAGTTCAAGCTCTAGAATCTGCCAGTTTAAATTGTCTGTGCCAACACATTCTTGTATATCCCACTTCTCTTTGCCAACTTCATTTTTGATTGGATACTGATGGATGGCATTGTTCTGTTCCACCGCAGCACTTTCTATATAACATAATGCCATATCTATAGTATAGTAGCAATTCCTATTTTCACAGCGATCGAACTGGCTACAAACAAATGATTTCCCTAACAGCAGACTTTCAAATGGATATGTGATGCTGGAACTATTTCTAATGAGCCTGCCACCACAGTGTTAAAACACGATATATATCATTTTGGGCTGTGAGTATTTTGGGTGTAAAGCAAATTTACTATTTAGCTTCACTGTGCTGTCATAAGTGAAAAAAGATAATAAAATAAATTGATGCTGGAGGAAATGTCATGCACACTGTCCATATTTGTTATCTAGCCATTATTCTTTGACATTAACTAATGTTAATATTTTATGTCCCCAAAGTTTGTTTTTATTATTATTTCTGAAGAACATTTATATTTTTCTCACAAATGTGTTTAGAAAAGAAGTCATGACAAAATGAAAAGTGTAAAAAGTTTAATTATTGGCAATTAAAATACAAGTCACTAACATTTCAAAATTATCTTCCTATAGGAATATAATCATTATCAAATTTGATGACATTAAAGGTGATCATCTATTTACAGGAATAGATGGTTTCTGTAATGAGAATGCCCAGTGGCTAGCTAGATTCAAAACTCAAGAATATATTCCACATATTCTTTACAATAAAATTCAGGATTTATAGGTTTGGGAAATTATTAGAGCTACAAAGGGTTGCACTATCACTTTGTCAAATTCTGACATTTTACTGATAAAAACATCAAATATGGATTCTTTCATTTGAAGGTTACATCAAGATCATTTTGATATTATGATGCTCGCTTCTTCTCTCCTGGCGTGTGCTGGCATCTTTCTCTGCACATGGAAACCCTCAAACACTCCCCTACCAAATGTCTCAAGATTCTTTGGACTCTGCTACACTCTTTCTTGCAGGATTTTCTAGTGTTCATTCCTTTGGTTAAGAATGCCATTTTTCCTAACCTCTAATGCACAATGAGTACCTCATACATTTTCTTATATAAAAGTCAGGGTCATGGCATTTGATGCATGCTTATATTACACATGCTCACCACTGGTCTAACCACATTATCCGATTTACCTCATTAAATCCTCAAACTGCCATGATAATACACTTATTATTATCCCTATTTGATAGATGAACAAATGGAAATATTAAATAATTTTTCAAGAAGAGAATGCCAGATTACTAGATTAAAGCCCAGACTGTATCTCCAGCGTAGGTTATTATAGCCTTTGGGATTCAGCTAACACTTCACTGGCTCTTACATTTCTGAACTGTTCTCTTACTAGGGAGTCTCTTTTCTGGGCAGATTTCTATTTATAGCATGTTCCATGTGTGAATTCAAATAGATTTTTAAAATTGTCTCTTCCTTACTGACTGGTTTATGTTTTGTTTTGCTTTTTGTAGCTCTCGGAATTGAACCCAATGCCTTGTGTATGCTAAAGAGGCACTCTACCAACCGTTTTCCTTTTAAAATTTTTATTTTGTGACAGGGGTTGTATCTTGCTAAGATGCCCAGACTGAGACTGTCTTGAACTTACAATTCTCTTGTCTCAGCCTCTTGAGTAGCTAGTTGGGATTACAGGTACGCACCACTGCACCCAGCCCATATGAGCTTCTTGAAAGTAACAGGGAACATTATCCTCAATTAAGGGCTTGGACCTGGGTTTGGAAATACCCAGATTTGAAATCCCAGTTCTATTGCTTATTCAAAAAATGTCAGTTGGCAAATGATTTAACACTGGACCACAGCTTTCTCATCTATAAAATGGTGATAAAGTTGCTTCATCATAATATACTTATAAGGGCATTGTGCATTAATTGCTTAATGTAAATTACCCATTATAAATACTGTTATCTGTATCCTTGAGGGTTAGTACTGTCCTAGTGATAACTGCACACTTACTACATAAATAGGCTATGAGGGACACATGAACCTGACTACCTTCTGAACTGACCGAGTGACACAGTTTTTCACAAACTCTGAAAGAACCTTCAATATCTTGCAGTGTGAGGTTCTCCTTGGTAATGCCGTTGTCATTTTAGTTGTCACATTAAATCAGGGTGCCTAGGATATTATCAAGGACACAAACAATGGACATAGCTATTATGCACTCATGTTTTCTGAACTGAAGGGAGGATGGACATTGAGAGAACCGAGTCCTTTAAATAACTCTTCGTGCAGAAGAAGAAGCTATTGTGGAGAGGTGACCAGAGCTATAGAGTTGCTGCATGACCTTCTAGTTTTTATTCTACTTTTGCCCTTGAGCAAAGAAATAAAAACAAAACTAGAAAACTTTTGGTTGTCTTCATCCAGTGCCCCTAGTTGTATGCACGCGTGTCTTTGTGTGCAGAAGTGTAACCACAATTATCTTTGTCAATAAGAATTGGGAGAGCTAAGTGAATATACAGTAGGAGGTAGGGATCACAGTGTCTGAAATTCTTGACTTTAAACAACTAATCTCATAATTATAAAACTCACATATAGGTAAATAAACCAAAAATAAAATAAACATGAAGCAAACAAGCAAGCAAAAAAAGAGACCTTTTTGCAAATGAATGATTTCATGAAAAAAACTCATTAGAGACCCAATGTCAAGGAAGAAGAGAATCACCTATATCCCCAGCATCAGTGTCCCTGTGTAACCAGAGCCACTCTGAGCATTATAGTACAATCAGAACCTTAGATGAGTGAGGCACCCCAGTGGAACATTCTGAACATATTAGAGGACATCTCATTAGCTAAGGGATGGTTTTGTTAAGTATGATAGGAAATTAACAAAGAAAAAGAAAATTAACAAGTGGCAGAGAGATGCATGGAAGGATTTATGATTGATCATTCTCCATGTATCCACTAGTGAAAAATCTTTTGAAATGATAGTGTCAATGGTTTTCTATTGCATTATCAGTGTAATAGTATCATTACGAGATCCACCTTAATTTGACCTCTGCTTCTATGTGCATGGCCTCAATTCTTTTCTGTAAATTGGCTTCCATATGCAGGGTTCTCTTACAATTTCTCATTTTACCCAGAATCTATGCCTCAGGATGGCCACAAGTGCTCTTTCCCACCTGACTTTTCTTTCAGATGTGTGTCTGAGTGGTGCCTTCTCATCTGTAAGGCCTCCTTCTACATGACAGTGCATAGAGAGCTATCCTAGCCACTGTACCCCTAGACATCCCATTCTTTTAAAAACTGACCTATAATAATTATACATGTGTATGAGGTATAGAATCAGCATGCTCATTACCTTGTATGTATGTTATCATTTCTTTGTGGTGAGAGCATTAAAAATACTATTTTCCATTGATACTGGGATATACAATATTGTAAGTGTAACCACTACTCATGAAATAGAACCCTAACAAAACACTTATTCTTTCTATCTATATGCAACTAGTCCCCAGTGACCAACATCTCCCCATCCTCCCATTGTCCCTCTGTTCCCTAGACTTAGGAGCCATTGCTTTACTCTCTACGTCTATGCAGTCTACTTCTATTTTAGATTTCACAATGTGTTAGATAATTATATTATTTATCATTATGACTTTTTATATCTTCATAAAGCTCTTTGCAATTTGTACTATGAATTAGTTTTTCATTTGCTTATATTTGCTTAAAGCTTTTCTTCTGTCTTAAGCTGTAAACCCTAAGAGGAATCCTAATCAGCCTATTGTTCCACTGGATAGCTAACACCTAGCTCACTGCCTAAAATGCAGCATTTGTGAAATAGAGAATGAATGAATAAATGGATGAAAAGTCCCATGCTCAGGGAAATCTATTAGAAGAATCAGTCACATAGATTGGAGCTCCAAATCAATAGATTTCAGTGTTTATGAGGGTCGTCAATTAATGACTCAATTAATGGTGAATATGAAGCCACTTTACAAAACTTTAATGACAGGGAGTCTGATTTCTGGTGAAGGTGAGGACTAATTGAATATTTAATGTGTATTTGTTATGTACAAGTGATCATGGAGGGTAAAATGTTGAACAAAATTTGATCTCTTCCCAGCACTTCTGGCAGTGTGAGATAAAGCAATGGTCCTATAATCAGGTATGTTCAGTGTGAGTGTGCTACGCAGATCACCACAAAATATTGAGTGCTATTTTGTGCTATAAATGTGATGGGGAAACATGGATAGTACTAAGCTTCTTATACGAGTAAGTGATTTTATCTTCTTTATAATTTAATCTGTTCTTTATAAGCAATGGGCATATGTATCCTTAGATCTACATGCCATTACAAAAATTTTAAGTAGAGCTGGTACATTTATCTGTTTGCCACTTATCCATTTGGTCAGAAAATATGTTTTGATTTACAAAGCTCAAGCACTATGCCATGGTGCTGGGCACGGGGGAGATTGCTATGAACATGAGCGGCAGGTTCTCTGCTCTCATATGCACTAGTATGATACATGTTTGATAAGAAACTCAAGAGTCAGAGTCTGCTTAGTGCTATCATGGAAAGACAGTGGTGATCTAGGTGCACTGAGAGATAGGCTGATGAGGATAGGCTTGCTGAAGGAAGGTGAGGTCAGATCTTGAGAGATGCACATGAGCTCTCCATGGCAGAGCTAGAGGAAGAGAGATGTCTGCTCAGAGAAACACAAATGAAGACAGGAGACTGGACAGGGCTGTGAGCACATGACTGATTAAACTACTTTAGTTGAGCCTGATGGGGATAGGAATGAGAAGAGGTCAGAATCCTGGGCCATAAAAAACTGATAAATGTGCACAGAAGTTTGACTTTTCTTCTGAAAAAGATCAAGAAGAGTTGTTGAAGAGTTGGAAGCATGAGATTGACAGGTTCTGCTTTCTATTCTAGGAAGTTAATCTAAACATAAGGAAAAGCAGTTGCTTTATGGTCTGTATGTGTCCTATCAAATTCATGTGTTGAAACTTATTTCCCTTTGTCAGGGTTCTAAGAGGTGGGCCTGTGGAGACGTGATCATGGCACTACAGGTCTACCTTCACGGCTGCACACAGAATGGTTTCCACCACCCCAGGCTCTTCTACTCGTCTGTCATTTGAGAGCACCTAAATGATACCGTCCCTGAATAAAAGACTTTCACCAGACAATGAACTTGCAGTTTCTTGGGCTACTTTCCAGCCTCCCAAACTGGAACTAAGACTTGTTCTTTCTTTTTACAATTCAGTGTCTATGTATTTTATTATAGCAGCACGAATGGACTAAGTGGTTTTAAAGGAAACCTGAGTGAAACCTTAAGAATCTCTGAGATCACCATTAGACACTGCTTTCCATTTACAGAACTCAATTCACCAAAACATATTACATAACCACTCTGGGCTGAGCACTGTGCAGAAATAGAAAGTTGGTGTTGATTGGATTTCACCAACAATAGTCCTAGGCTTTCTATGGGGACAGAACAGCCATATTTTTCAAAATTGATTTCTTCATTCATTTTCAATTTCCTTTTCATGATTAGTTAAATCGAAAGCAAATGTTTGGGGTCCTTTTGACCTGCTCACCTCAACCCTCTTTCTCTTTCTGAACAGATCTGTAATTTCCCAAAGTAGTGCGTGGCTGTGGCAGACAGTACTTATCCCGAAGAAGCAGGTTCTGCTGGGGGTTCATGCTTGAGTCCATTTTTCTTATCTTTCTCAAATGGCCGAAGTTAACTGATTTGAAAGGGCCTCATTTTAAATTACATTCATTCAGTGAAAACAGAAATTAACACTTAGAGACATCTATATGCTAATGATTGTAGCTCAGGGAATTCACTTCTAACCTTTTCAAAAGGCGTTGGTAAAGAGCCATTTCACTTGAAAGCAACTTAGTAAAACTGGTAGATTAATTAAATACCATAAAATTTCTTTAAAAATCTTTATTTCATTTATCATTTATGCCATTATTTTTTCTTTTTTATGTGAGCTACCTTGATTCAGATTGTGCCTTCTAGGACACATTATTTAGCAGGTTATTTGACACGAATAATACAGAATTCAGAGTGGTAATATAATGCTATGGGTTTGGAAGACAGTGAAAGGACAAAAGACAAAGAACTACGTTCTTCAAGGCGATCCCTAGGTAGTTTGCAACTTTGTGTAATAATAATAATAATAATAATAATATTTTTAAAAATTAGTGCCCTTTCTTGTGACAGAGACACACTGGGCAAGGGCCCAAGCTTGGGAATGGTAAATGGGGTTGGGGTGCAAAACCTCAATGTCCTCCTAAGTCCCAAGCCCTTGTTTAATAAGCAAGTTACACAAATGTTCATGCCATTTTTTTGTAACTGATTCTGTCTTACCTCTCAATCTGACATCTCTACTTATTTTTAGCCACAATTTCATAGGTCTTTAAATTTTATCACTAAGAAGATGCAAGTTTTGAATCTGTTTATACTCTGGACAGTAACCTGTCCTAAAGATTTGGGGGTAAAAGGCATTTTGTTGAAGTGTTTGAATGCGAAATCATGTATATGCACAGGACAGCCCCTTTAGGGATGGGTTCATGGAGTCAAGAGAATTTTATGTCATTCACATGCCCAAGTATTGCTCCTGTCCTCTGAATAAACAAGCAAAAACTGCACCTTTTATAGTATGGAATGTTTCAGCTAAATCTGCTTGTGAATCTTGGTTCTGCCTGCTACTTACAACTGTACAACTGAGTACATTGTTGGTTTCTTTGATGCCTATTTTTCCCATCTGTAAAATGGATACTAGAAACAACACTTTCCAGGAAGATAAAATGAAAATATGCATATAAAGTGCTTGATAACATAACAGGCACAGAGCACTCAGTAGAAGGTGGTGCCTGCCTCAAATGGTGGGGATAAATTACATAAACAAACAATTGAAATAATTACTGCTTTCAGAAGCTACATTCCAGGGACTGATTTCCAATTAAATTGAAATGAGATCTGTACTTAAGTTGGCAATATTGTATAATATCTTAGCTAAATATTCTTTCTTCAGGCTTTCCACATCCTTTATTTCTCCTTGGTCCATGGCTTCAAAGGAAGCACTCTACCAATAAATGAATCCATGGGATAGTGATTCTTCTTTGTCTCTAACTTTAAGAGCTGTAACATTTGCTATATTTTGACATATACTTGTACCCATAACACCTTTACTACAGATTAATGAACGAGCCCATTACCCTTAAGGTATCTTTCATTAGTTCTTTCTAAGCTCCACCTCCCACCTTCTCCTGGTCCCTTTCCCATCCCCAAATAACTTCTGCTCTGTTTACTGTCATAAAAGATGAATTTGCATTTTCTAGCATTTTGCACAAATTAAATCTTACAGTATCGACCCCTTTACTTGTTAGTTCAATCTGCTTTCTTTCACTTAGTATAATTATATTAAACTTTATTTTTAAACTAAACATCTTGGATAGTTTCATTTCTATTTTCTTGCATGTGTAATTTATGCCTTTATCTTGCTAATTAATAGTTATTTTAAAAATATATCATCATTTATTAGTTCATGTACCTGTAGAGAGACAGTTAGATTATTTCCAATTTTGGGGAAATATATTTGCCAAGAGCATTCAAATACAAGCCTTTGTGTAGATGTATCTTTTTATTTCTATTGGGGAAGTATTGTAGAAAACAGCTGGAGCAGGTACTAAGTATGTGTCTAACTTTTTAAGTGATTGATAAATTGTTTTCCAGGGATCTGTTGCCTGGCAACATTCTCTCTATCAGTGTCCGACTGTTTTGGCTACTCTACATCTTAAACACCAGATGTGGTTGAGTGTTTTAACTTCAGGTATTTCAAGAGTGATGTAGTAGTATTTCCTTGTGATTATATTTTTAATTTCCCAATGACTATCATGTGGTTCTTTTCTATTTTATGAAATAGTTAATCAAATATTTATCCTTCATCCTGTTTTAAATTGAATTGTTGGTTCATTGTTACTGAATTTTTAGAGTTATTCACATATTTGAAATAAAAATTCTTTATCAGAAATATGATTTACACTGTTTCTCCCTGTCTGTGGCTGTGGTATCATTCTTTTAAGTAGGATCTGTTGGAGAGAACTTAATTTTGATGAACTCCATTTTACCAATTTTCTCTTTTGTTCATCTTTTCCTAATTCAAGGTAACAAAAGTTTTGGTTTCCTCTGAGAAGTTTTGTGGATTTTAATTTTACATGTAGATCTATGGATACATCTTGAATAAATTTTTGTATCAATATTCATTCCTGTTGGAGGAGAGGGGAATAAGGATATTTACTTTGCCCAGTGTCATTTACTGAAACTCTTATTCTTTCTGTTCTGAATTTCTTTTTCATGTTTCAAAAATATTAACCACTACGGATTCATTTCTGGACTGTCCTCCAGTGTGCTACAGTTTCTATCTGCTTTTAAGGCCAGGGTGTATTGTGAAAACTTTCCATTCTTGAGGCAGTTTGTTGAGAATTATTCCTCCATTCTCCCTCTCCTTCCATGTAATGCAACTGAGCAACTCAGCATAATTTTCTCTTTTATTTTATTCTCAAAGTGAACTTAGCCACAGATTAGTTAGCTTTAATCCTTTCTACCTTTTTCTGGTTCTGTTCCCAGTTTTAATTTTACTTGATTTGAGCTTGTTTTGAAAGGGAGGAGGAGATGGCACCACAACACCTTGATAAACTGTTTTCTATGGCACACACATCTATACAAATCAGTATAAACCATCAAATTGCTCATGGGGATCAGAAGAGAGTGACCCTGGAGTCAAAAGAAGCACCCAAATGCAGGCCAAACTTCTCTAAAGTATTCTTGCTAATAAGTGTGTCAGTTTCTGAGTTACACCCATTTTTTTCTGTATGCACACAGAAAAATGTTCACTCTTGCTTTAGACATGACATCATAGGTTCTCAAAGGCAGAGGCAGGCTAGAAATCCCAGGGCAAGATCCACTTGAGCCTGGTTGAGAACAGGGCTTTCTCAGGTAGGATTCCACTTGTAAATCCTGACTGTCAAACTGTGATGGATACAGCTTCCAAAGAGGAACAAGCCAGCCCACGGGAGGAGTCAGAGAGCAGGAGAGTTGGAAACTGGAAGGCAGGGAAAGTGGTTATCAGCTCTTTATTAGGCCCACGCTGATTGGCGAGCTCCTTGCTGATGCTAATGAGGCTATTTTTATACTGATAGCTATATTATTCCCAGCAATTGTCATGGTTACACAGACAAAAGAAGAAGGTGAATGGTAAACTTTCTGAATAAAGGAGATGGCATGAAATTGGAATCATTTAATCATTTATTCTAAGGACAAAAACAGGTCCTTTCTACAATGAGTTAATGAACTCTGGTTTACCCCTGAAGCTATATTCTTCCACTGACATCAGTCTCCTCATCTGTTAAAATGAGGGGGTTGAACTAAATGATCTTTAGGGTCCCTTTTATCACTGAAAATTCTATGAGTATCTAAGGTATTTCTTAGTTATTGGTGGTTTTGCATCTTCTATAAGGGAAACAGTTTGGAAAGTCTGAAGTTTTATTTGCATTGGGAGTTTGATCTCAAAAGAGGGATCATGTGTAGATGTTTAAATTGAGGAAATTGATCTCTGATACATTTTGTACTTCATATGGTAACCTGCCCACGCAGTGCTACATTGAGGCACGAGTGGAGAATATAAAATCAGTAAAAGAATCCCTCTGTTCCTGTGTTGAAGTACAATTTTATGTTCCTGTTAGGTTAATTCTTTGCATAACATGAGGGGCCTCACACCTGGTGTTCTTACCTATGATTAGGCATAAAGATATCAAAGTGACATGGTAGATGAAGTTCTCTGTCATTTGTAAAAGTTGTGCATGGCCATATTAGGACACTGGTCTCCAGACTTAAGCAAACCCCATCAAGGCACTTAACCAATTAATCTGAATTGTCAAACAGGAATCTAAAAACATATTGTCAAAGCAGTTATATATCTGAGCTATTAATGGGCATGATTTTATTTTATAACTTTTCATATCACAGCATCTATAGAGAATGATCATGGTGCTGGAATCAACTACCTATTTGCATATACATTTCTTGCAACCTGTACTTATCATTTTAAGAAAAGTTCAAACTTGGACATTTTATGCATATAGTTTTAGCCTTAATATAAAGAA